GGCATTGCTGGGAAAAGGCTCACAAAAGAAGCTAATGTTGTGGGGGATGAGTTCAGTGTCAACTATGACTCTTGGTTATACTGTTGCAACATTTTTGGATATTGGATTTGGGTAAGCCGTTGTGTGCATGGGTTTGGTGTTGTATGTGGGCTATAGTCTCTGAGATCTAGTGCTCTGATTTATTAAATGATGATAATACTATCTACCTCATAATGTTGGCTTAGATTGAATGAGATAAAATACAAAGGATCTCACATTGTTGAGAGCCACGGCCGGTCAGAATGATGCCTGGCATTTAAAGCCTGTTGTACTGCAGCTGCCAAGACTTGCCCTTGTTCATTAATGTCTCTACATAATTTAATATATGTGTTTAAATCTTCATGTTTCCATGGTCTAATGGCCTCCTTGCACCATCTGTTTGCTTGCTCAAAGGCTAGCTGTTTAATTAATGGCATTGCTTGCTCTGTATCCCCAAAAACTCTGGTAGCTGTTTGAATAAGCCTACCTACAAATTCAGCGTAAGGTTTATTAGCTCCTTGTATTATCTTAGATAATTGACCTTGTAAATCTCCATGTCCTTGTAAAGTCTTCCATGCCCTAACTGCATCTGCAGCAATTTGTGAATATATAGCAGGATCATATTCAATTTGTTGCCGTTGACCCTCATAAGGTACTTTTCCTAACAATATATCTAAATTTCTTTGAGGGTAACCGGCTGCTGCATTTTGCGTAGCCGTCTCCATGCAAAATTCCTCATTGGCAACCTTCCATAACAAATATTGTCCTCCATTTAGCACAGATTTACACATGCTAGCCCAATCTGTTGGCGTCATGTCCAAGTTGGTAATGGATTCAATCATGCTTACAGTGAAGGGTGCTTGGGGACCATAGGTTGTTACAGCCTCCTTTAACTGCTTCACTGTTTTGAAATCTAAAACATGGTGATTTCGCTGCCCTCCTGCCACCTCAAATACAGGGCATGCTAATCTTTGAGGTCCTGTCTCAGGATCCCATCTATCAACTACGGGGGTTGAGGGCCCCATAGGATATGTTGTCTCTATAGGTGGAGCAGTTGGTTGGACACTTATGCCCTCTGGTGATGGAAACGTGTTAGTAGCAGCCTCCTGTGGTAACTTTTTCCCCTGATAGTTCTTCCTCCTTTAAATTTTCTTCCTCTGTCTGACTAGCTCAAGAGACCTTCTCTTTTACTTGATCTAAAATGTCTTTCTCCATGGTCTGAACCTCTAAATTTACTTAACACTCTTTCGGTTTGTTTTTTACTAATTTCTAATCTACTATAAATATAACACAACCCTACAAGATAACACAAAACAAAACCGAAACAGAATGAAACAAAAATGGAACAAAAAATCGTTGTATCAATATTCCTATTTTTTTTGAAATGTATATTTGTGGTCTATCTCTATCTCTTCCTCAGGGCCGAACAACTTCAAACCTTGAGCCAACCATTTTTCCCAGTTTGCCTTAGAAAGTTCTAGGGATAGGCAGCTTGAAACAAAAACAAAACAAATCAAAACAAGAACACATTGTTTTTTGAAATGGTCACCCATTCTCTCGCCTTCCCTCAGGGGCGAGCAATTTCACTTACCTGCGAGCTTCAGGTGTTCCCCATACAGGCCGCCAAATGCTGCAGTCTGGCTGGGCATGAATAACCGAGCCACCACAAAGCCTTGTAGGTTCAAACAGCAACTACTTTATTTCAACTCTCACCGGCACTGCACGTGCACTTTTCCACCAATGCCACCCATGCTGCCCTTCCAGAAACCCCCCACACCAGAAATCCCTCCTCTGGCACTCCCCCATACAATGGGAACTCTTGGGGAATCCCCCAGAGAACTCCAAAGTAGCGGGTGCCTAAGGCAGCAAGAGCTGCCCCATTGCCCGACAGTAAAGGTCAAATATACAATACAATCAATTCAGCATCACAGCAATTATATATAGCTTAACTCAAATCATCATCTCAATGGTTTGCTGGCATCACCTTTCAAACATTCCCTCTGGCAAATGCCAGGCTTCATTCTGACTGGCCTGGCTCTCAACATCACATGGTACTAAAAAGGAGGCAAATACTAATGTTCATATGTGCTGTATTCTTTATTATTATTAATTATATTTTTTATTCTGCCACTTAGTTTTCTAGCCTGTAGCCAGAAATAATTAAAAAGATTATATCTGTTAATGTCTATAGAGTACTTGTGATGTACTAGGCACTCTTCATTTTTGTAGCACTGTATATGTGTGTTAGAGGTGTGTATATACATGTGTGTTTATACACACACATATAATTATTTAATTCTCAAACTTTATGTAATAATACTTTTGTTACCTCCATCATATAAATGTGAAAACAAGCACATAGAACTTAAGCAATTTACCAAAGTTCATATAGCTGGACCAAAGATTATATAGCTACTGAGTATTGGCCCTTGGATTTCAATCAACAGTTACATTTCTATTCCTGCAGTTTAAACCAATGTTTAAATACCTATTTTCATAGATAGATGCACTGAAATACTCTTGGTTAATATGTTTTTAATTTTTAATCAATCTGTGTTATATGTTACATCCCTTAAGAACATTGTAGCGGTCATCTTTGTCTTATCCTTTTGACAAATCTACTATTTCTGAAATACATAGTATACGGAACCTTAAATTATTTTTAAATTGATCTTAAAACATTCTTTTTATATCATGTGTCAACTCTACTGCTGATTGATTTTCATACACACAAATGTAAATATAGATTTTTATTTCAGATTCACATGCCCAAGAATTTCCATATACATTGACTAATAGGGTTGAAAGAAACTTAAAATCTTTTTCTTCATCACATACAAATGTTTGAATTCATCTTACCAAGTGGTAGTTGTACAAAGATTTCTACGGCTTCAATCACGGAACTCTTCCCTCACAAATCTCATCTCAATATTTGCAGTCATTCTTAATAAATCTCACCACTATTTCCTCAGCACCTGGAATCTGCCTTATACTTGCTATGTACTCCATATGGTTTTTGAAATGAATTAATGAATTAATGATTGATTATTGAAAATATACTCACTATTCTTTATTTTGTAATTTTTCAAAGATACAACAAAATTTTCTTAATTCAAGATATGAGTGTATTTGTGTAAGAGAAAGATAAGCATAATTAAGGAAATTCTGGTTTTGTTGTTTGTTTTGAAAAAAGTTGACATGTGTCAAATTTTAATAACATCTGAATATTAAGGCTTCTGGAACTCCAAGAAGACATGCTACCTTTTCTGAGTACTGACACAACAAATTAGGAGTTGCTTCTTAAGCCTGGATACTGACATGTTAGCTGCTTGAAATAGAAATGTGAAACTTGTTCTGAACTGGGGAGGAAACTAAGAACTCAAGCTGATGGTTCACACTAGGACGAGGTCAACTGAAATCATTGAATTGGATATTGGATATTGAACCCAGTAGTATTCCTCCATTTCCTTCTTGCATTAGCCTTAGGGGCACTCTTCATACATAGAACCAACTGTAAATTATTTTAATTTTAATACTTTTTGTTAGGGCATCACTAACATAAAATGTTAATTTATATTTCTTGAGTTTCATTGTTCTTAAATTCATTCAAGTGCTAAAAAATTATAAAGAATAATTTTCAAAGTTAAATCCAAAACAATTTATTTAAATTCTGGTTCCTGGGTTTATGTGGAAAAAGCATCATATGGCATGCTGAGAGCCAAATTGGGATTCAGATTGGTTATAAAAGGCTGTGTTTTTTAGCAGTTATTCATAACACCTGATGACGATGGTGGATTTGTGGTTGCTATGTTGGGATTGGACATTGAATCTCTAGGCTTCCGATTAAGTGGGAGTCACCATTTGCTGTGCTGTGAATTGCCAACAAAAGCAGAATCTGTCACAGGTGCTCCAATTTGTATTTCAGAAAATTTGCTTCTCTAACTTTAATTATCTCCAAAATACTCCACTCTATAGAGTACTGAAAGGAGTCAGCATTTTTTTTTCCAAGTTTCAGTACTTTGATGTAAATTAGAATTTTTGTGAACTACCTACATGTTGTAGAGAAAATAGAATTTCAAATGGAGGAGGAGGACTTTAGCTGTACAAAATAAAACACTATTTTCATTTTTCCACTTTGAAATCAGGAAAAAAAATCATAAAAATATAATGCCAAGTAGCCATAGCTGAATAACACATTGATAATGAGACAAACTACACTTCTTTGAAGGAAGGCAGGCATGAATCAGAAAGTGTGTAGGTTTAGCCACTAATGGTTGAAAATGAGAAATGAGAAGTCCTAAGCCTAAAAATATTAAATAAACTTAGGAATAACTTTCTTATTAGATATTAATGTGTGTCTCAAACTCATGGAAATAAATATTTATCATTTTTGTAATAGACTGCCTCTCTTTTTTAGAGAGACGGGGGAATTGTAGAGAATATACCCTTTTGGCAAATAATCCCTCTTAACATCAGCATACATTAGCTAGGGATTTTTTCCCCATTAAAATACTTCCTTTTCAACAATTCAACATAAAAACTTGATGGGACAGTTTGTCCTTATTTCATTGCAGAAACTGCTTCTTCAAAATTGGCTGAGGTTGACCAGCTCAATTAAAAAATCTTTGATCCTGGAAATCCATAAGAAGTGATTACATCTATGAAAATCTTTTTTTTTTTTTTTTTTTTTTGTGGTGCTGGGGATCCAACTGAGGGCCTTGTGCATGCGAGGCAAGCTATATCCCCAGCCCTGAAAATCATTTTTAAGAGATGAATATTGTTGGGTGATTTAATTAGGAAATATGTTATAATGAAATTTTTTGGGAAAATTTTAAAACAGATTCTTCATTTTTTTGCATGTCTTTCTCTTTGTATTAATGTAATTTCAAAATAGAGAAATGGTTAATTGAACTGAGAAATAAATGTGTTTACTGGTAATTGCTTAGCCTTTGAATTGTAATTACAATTTTATATTCTTATAGGATTATTTAACCATTCATAAGTATGGCAATGCAGCGAGAAATGATCTCTGGAATACATTATCAGAGGTAAAGTATAGGAAGTTCAAATATCAAAATGTCTACTTGAACATTTGAATTGAGTATATAAGCCATTATTAACTTTTATTGACACTGACAGTTTGTCTTTACTTTTTTATTTCCATTTTCTTCATATTGCTTCCTGTTTTAGTTTGATATATTATAATGATCAATGGTTCAAAATTATTTAAAGTACAAGAAGTGATAGATACCTTGCCTATTTTCAATATGACAATATTTCTGAAATGTGACTCTAATATAATATCAGAGATTCATGTTAAAGACATCCTGAAGTTTCAAATATATTTTTTCTATGTGATTGTAGACATTTGAAGGATAGAAAATGATGCTACAAATACTTTCTTTAACAATAAAGTATATTTTATTTTCTGGTGTTTATAGACTTTAATGTTAATACAACTTTCATGTATGTACATATATACATATATAGAAAGCATAATTTATGGTAAGATTAATTTTATGTGTCTTATATTAATGTCACTGAATTTAAATGTCTTCATATTTAGGAAAATTAATTAAAAGGTAAAAATTAAAATGGCTTAATGTTAATTATGTTTATAATTCATGTTTATGAGACTAATTTATTCAATTTTGGTTGTAAAGGCTTTGAAAAGGAATGGAAAATATGTAAATATACAAGAAGTAATGGATCAGTGGACACTCCAGATGGGTTATCCTGTTATCACCATCTTGGGAAATACAACAGCAGAAAATAGAATAATAATTACCCAACAACATTTTATTTATGATATCAGTGCTAAAACTAAATCACTTGAACGCCAAAATAACAGGTAGAGCACTCTATTTTTACATGAAAAAATGCTTTTATTTTTATATTTCACATTGCTCTTTTAATAATTTAAAAAGCATTGATAATACATTCTGAAATATTATAAGTAAAATATAATTTTAATTTATTTCTTTCTGCATGTTATTTCATTTTGATTCTTTTTACTTCCATTTTATGGATATTTTAACCCTCAAGATGACAACATTATTTATTTCAGAAAATGGAATTTTTAATTATAAATGATGATATAAAAATTAAGATGTGATTTTTTACTTTTCTTCCTGAATATTTCTTGAATTAAATACAAGAAAGGTGTGTTGCAATGAAGTTTGAGAAAACCATGAGATTTATAAGACAAATGAAAAAGGAAACTAACAATCCAGAAAAAAAAAGCAATTAAAGAAAATGAAAATCTAAATAATGTCTGAGTCAAAGGAACTTAAAATAGAATACCTAAAATGATCTAAATATGAATGATGCTCCATATAAAAAATAAGTTCTCTTTCCTTCGCTTTTAGTGTTTGAAACCACTAAACTGACAACATACATGGATTGATTTGTTGTTATTTTACCTTTCTTTTGAAACTCTAACTTAATACCTGATAATTCATCGTGTAGGATTGTTTTCTTTTTTACCTTATGTTTTTTATTTTGTGTCTCATTTTAAAGGCTGAGTCAATGAATGATAGTAGAACTGTATTAGTCAGTTTCAGTTTTTTCTAAGGTGCCCTGGGTTAGGTTAACCATGTGCTGTCTCCCATTACCTTGGAAAATTAGGAGTCTGACTTCATCAACCACCAGTATCAGAGACCAGGAGCAGAGTTTACTTTGTTATCTCTAAGAGGAGTGGAAATCGTTCCTAAGTTAGCTACCTCCAATTCTGGATATTCAGAGAAGTGATTGAAAAATTCATTAATATTTTCTGGTGACCACATTTGGAATATGATTTAGGACAGCAGCTTCTTAAACCTTCTCAATATACACACATACACTTCGAGGCACTGCCCTCTGCCTCGCCACTCTCTGTTCTCCTGTAATCCCACATCACCCTGCTGAACTGTCAGTGCTGTCTGGGTCTGCCCATCAAGGCTGCTCTCCCCAGCTCAGATTCCCCACAGCTGCCAAGTGCTACTTCTAATCCTTCACCATCTGGCCCCAGGCTAAACATGCTTTAGCATCAACCCTGGCCAGGAAGTACGTAAAAACTACTTGACTGTGGCAAAGCTGGAGATACTCAGGCCAGGCCTTCAAGGATGCTGAGTCTGACACAGCATCACTGATGCAGAAAAACATAAAAGACACATAGATGACAGCAAAAAAATTTGAACAAAAATACTTTGTGAACCTATAATATACATCAGTATATCAGCTGTGAGTCTGGGAAAAATTTTTCCCAGGCTGTATATGTAGTATCTACAGCTTCACATTGGCTGTTTTAAAATCATATGGATTATTTTGAACTCTGAGAAATTGGCATAGAAAGTATTAAGAGAATGATCATACAGGGCATCTTATTAGTCTCAAAAATGAGTTTATATATTATGAAATAATAGAGCTTGTAGTGGCAAATGTAGTATTCCAATTTTACATTATTGATCTTTAATTCACTGTGACATTCTGGTCAAAGCTTCAATAATACTGTCTGGCTTTTGTACATAGCTTTCCTAGGTCTTTATACACGATGCACACAGTTGATGCAATAAAACCTATACCTATCTATGCCAGAAATTTTTTAAATTATGGATGTTTTCTGAACCAGGAGAGTCAGTTTTTTTTTCATTTTTTTAGAGGATACCAGAACATAAGCATGACATGCATAGAACATTTTAATGTGTTCAGTAATTATATTTTTCATACATGACAATTGTATTGCAGCAGAGAAAGGAAAGATCTTTAACCAATAACTGCACAAAGTTAATGAATATCTAACAGAGTGTAAAAATGTAATAGAATGTGGTACTTGGGAAGTGGTGAATTGGTGAAGCCTTTTTCTTTATAAAGTTACTTCCCTATAGTGTTATGTAACGTTTCCTTAACCACAGAGGAGCTTCTAAGAGTTTTGTGTTATAGAGAATTCTATTTACCTGCATGTTTACATTTCCCATGTCTTACTGGCCTGATAGTAACAATCTCTAGTTTTTCATAAGCTTTACACTAATCCTTCATTAATGTTGATACTATTTTTAAAAGGTTCCTGACTCAGCTAAAATATATGCCCATTCTTTTCTACTTTAATGTAATCCTTAAAATTAAAGTTGCTTTTTATAAAAATGTAAACTGATAATGAAGACAGTTAATCCCTGGAACTATTAAAGAAAATAAATGGTTTTAGGGTCTTCTGAAATTAATTTTTAAGGTTTTTAATGGTTAAATGAAATAAATAAAATTTGAATTAAACTAAAGAGGCAGAAACACAATCCATTCTCACAATATCTTTTTTCTAGTCTCTTTTTAAGCTAACCCACTGAAAACTGATTTCTTTAGAGCATACCATACAGGGCCCTTTACTCAAAATTGTTGAGTGTCCTCTAGTCTTTTAGCAAAACAACAAAACAAAACAAATCCCACCATGATTATTATGACTTCTTTGCTTTTAAAATGAAATTTATAAATGACTAAATATGTTTTGTTTAAAAAGCTATGAAGAATAACAGGATGTCAACATGTCCAACAATTTTGAAATGAATACAAAATTTCAGATCTGCCTGGTAACTTGTAACAATTTATCTTTGTCACTTGTATAGATTTTGTGTAGGGTACAAAAACTTCCTTAGAGAAAACATAAACGTCTATTTTAAGAATTTTACAAAATATCCCAACTTTGTGTTCTAAAATCTTATAATAGGTAACTTTTTTTATATCACAGCAGCTGTGCGATAGTGTCTGCTTATTTAAGTAATTTTCTCTATGCATATGATATGACTGTAAGAATCATGCAAGTATTTATATGAATCTCATTTTCTTGTACCTTAGAGACTTTTTTGAAAATTTATATTGAAACATCTCAGTTTTTATCATGATCTCTGGCTATTTAGAAGAATACAGTTCAAATACAAGTATTAGGGGCACACAGTGCTTCACAAACATTTTTGGATCATGCTACAAAAAGACATATTTTCCCTTAATGATTTTTTAATTCTCCTAATTTTTTTATATTCCTTGCTCTTTAACTAATACTTATCTGACTTCACATTTTGCTTGACCCGATTCAATGTGGAAGATGCATACAAAAATGTGAAGTTCATAAAGAACATTTTTTTTTTGAGAGAGAATCTTTTTTGTAGATGGTCACAACACAATGCCTTTATTTTTATGTGGTGCTGAGACTCCAACCTGGGTCCCACCCATTCTAAACAAGTGCTCTACCACTGAGCCATAATCCCAGCCCAAGAGCATTTTTGTCTTACTTATAGGTTAATCTGGCCTTTTTTATTTTCCTTTAATCTAAGTCAATTCAATCATATTAACACATTCAACAGTGATTTATAAAACAACTCCTCTTTCATAGCTTTTCTCAATGACCCTGTAGTTTAACTTGAGAATTAGACTCAAACTGGAGACATTGTTGTCTAATTATTACAATTAATCAAAAGAGATTCATTATCTTTAAAGAATAGCTATTAAAGAAATATATCAGTTTTTTGTATCTTTATTCCAATAAATCTATCATTAAATATTTGTAAGATATTTTTAGTTCTTTGTTGCAAGTGTGAAAGTATTTATTAAAGAACTTACATGGGTAATTTCTCACTAAGTTTTTACTATCTAAAGAATGACTACCATAAAGTACTTCCTGACCAATCATGGGGAGTCAATTGTAGTATAGCACAGTGTCTCTGAATAGTTGACACTCAAAAATATTTCTGTAATTAAGTATAATATATAGTTTTCTAATTTAGAATCTTAAATGTGTTTTTTTAACTTTCAATAGTGGAGATAACAGTTGATATACAATTATGAATTTCTTCCAGTCTTCTATTCAGACTCTTTTGTACCACAGAACTCTTTTTATAATGAGTGAAACAATTAACTGATCAAATAACCAAATTCTGCATGATGGATTCAGTGGAGACACCCTTTTCTCCCACCCTCAAAAAAGACATGATCTTGTTTCAATATGTTATGCCAAGCATGATTCCTCAAAAGTGTTCCATTCTCCATTTATTCTCATAGATATTAAACTCACACAATATCTTTACTTATTGTATCTTTACAATATCATTCTAAAATAAAAATTATTTTTCCCATACTGTAATTATTGGATACCCCTGTTGCTAATGGTGCAGTGGAGAAATCAATATAATCAAGCTGTATTTCAAGGAAGAAAGCTAAGTCTAGTCATTGGGCTTATTGTAAAACCATCCAGCAAATCTCTGGGTGCTCTTTGAGATTAAATTGATATTAATTCATGTACAAGCCTAGATATCAATTTTACCCTATAAAAAGGTAAATGTAAAAAAATGCTTCTTTTTAATAGTTGAGATTCATGAGTGACCCTGCATATTGATAGATGCTTTGACACATCAATTTGGAAATTTCATTTCAGGAAACAGAGTATTAAGTATGTCCCACAGTGTTTTTGGTATTGATCTGGATTTTGGGGAAATCCAATTAATTTTGTTCTTCCTTTATTCTTTAGATGTGTCATATTATTCTCTCTCTAAATATATGTTAGTAGTGTTACCAGAATTGTTAGATAATAACTAAGGAAAATTTTAAAGTGTAAATGATGAAACCACTGAAATTTATATTAATCTAATATAGAAAAAGTGGAAAGGGTTTATTTTTAGATTTTAATCAATATATAATGTGGTTCAGATTTTTGGAATATAGTTACTTTTATTTTTAAAATGCAAATCTGTTTTTTTTCTGCAAAATAAAGTATTTTTTGGCAGTTCTTTTGCACTGAAACCAAAACTTTTTAAAGTCAAGTCTTCTTAATGGCATGTAATAATAAACCCATCTTTTTGACTTATTTTTGTCTTTCTAACTGGGATTTATATACTTATTTACTTGTTTGTTTTTACTGAAGAGAGTAATAAAATCATATATAAGCTAGATAGAAAATGTTGTTTATTTTTGTTTGGATGTAGATATTTTATTCTTAAAGCTTCTCTTTTATTTTTCAGTTACCTGTGGCAGATTCCATTAACTATTGTAGTAGGAAATAGAAGCCATGTGTCTTCAGAAGCAATTATTTGGGTGTCTAACAAATCAGGTAAAATATATATTGTCCCCTGAGGAACTCTTTGGTTTCAGATAATTGTTTGGCAACTTAACCTCTAGTTTTAGCTGTTATAAAATGTGAATAAAAATAAATTATATTGAGAAAGTAATGTTAATCACTTCTAAAAAATTAGGTATAATATAGAATAATAGTCTAATTTCAAGCTTCCTGGGTAATTTTATATTTGTTTCTTTTATGGTAAAGAGAAAATTTTAAAATAAGTATCTATAGAATTAATATTATCTGTTTTAGGCTGTGTAATTTTGTAATTCCAAGTGTAATTAAAATGTAATCATAACTCCCAGTAGAACATTATTTCAAATACTAAAATGTAGGCCTAATTTTTAATCCCATTTTCCTGCTACCTTTTAGTTACCAGACTGTCTCTTTAAGGGACCAGAAAGGCAATATTCTCCATGGAATTAGATAATTATAGGGCCAGGAGGGAGGGGCTTTTACATGGCATCTAGCCATCTCCTAGGTTGGGTCAAACCTCAAGGAGCATTGAGAGATGAGATTCTATTCTCTTTCTAAATATCTTCAAATAAGATAGTGATCTATTTCAATTCACTGTCAGAAACCTATTTCTCGAATCCAATCTATATCCTTCAAGCTAGAGTGTGAACCAGGTCCCTTTTATTTCTGTTTTCCATTGAGTTAGAGAAAAAGTCAATTATCATCTTTTATGTAACATTTCATTTAGATTTAGATGGTCAAGGGTGTCCATATTTTGTTTTCCTTATTCCTTTCTCACATACTGTTAATTGATGTTACCTTACATCATTTTAAACAGTCACAATTGTTTTTCAATAAGGTGAGGTATAAATAAACAGCTGTTTTTTCCTTCTGTCTTGCTATTATAAGGGAGACTAAAATGCTTAAAATACACATAGGAAACAAGTTTTAAAGCAAAATATAATTTGTTTGCCAGAAGTATAAACACTTGGAATTCCAGGTGTATTTTTACTCAAATTTTTAATGTTTCTTAATACATAATCACATATTATAAAAATATGTATTTTAACTTATACATGTTGTATGTGGTCGGATCCACAGCCCAGTTGTGCAAGGGCAATAGGTTAGGTTGCAGAAGGCCAAAGAAAGTGCCCATAAGTGGTACTTATGATTTATTGAGGAAAGCTTGCAAGAGATTAGTGCCTGCTCCTAGAAGACTTCAGTGATAATAGACCGACACATAGCACTTCTGTCCTTCAAGGTGTTTTTCCAAACAGTGCCTCCTCTCCCTCATGATGTTTTGTCCAGTAGCTGCTGGTTGGATGAGTGACACATATCCTTTCCATAGTGCCCTCAGCACCCCCCTGGCTGCCAGTGGGATAGAGGTTTTATGTAAGGCTGCAGAAGCAATGACAGCATCAGCATTAGCTTGCATTGTTTGCTTAGTTAGCTTGCATGGCCAGCATCCCAAGGAACAACTGTCTTGGCACAGATGCAAGAAAGTAGCTTTCTACAGATTAACACTAATTTACCATAATTCCTAGTGTGCATAAAATGTATCCAGTGTTCTTCAAGATAATATGTTCCTGGACTTTCCAACCCAAGCTTGCTCTCAGTATTCCTTTAACTTGGTGAGGTTTTTGGGGAAAAAGGAAGGACATTCAATGATATTGTTTACTCTCCCCCTTTTCTTTAGAATTGATACATATATGAAACATGCATGTGTAGTCTAATAAGACATTAAAGTACTTACTCTAACATTTATTGATATTTATCTTTCTAAATAATCAGAATCTATAGTTTCATTGCATGATTCTGAATTTATACCTACTGTATTATTTGTCTGTATACCTCTCTTTTCCACTCATGTGGTTGTTTTATTTACCTATGTAATCTGTTATAAAATGATGAAAACAATTACTGTAAAGTTCCAACTATTAGAATGAAATTATGCCACCCTAGGAAAGCCAGGAGCATGAGATAGAACTATCTTCAGAAATAAAGCAAAATACTCATCTTTTTAAGGTAGAATGAAAATGGAGAAAATTTAAAAAGTATAAAGGCATATTGATCAAACATCAGGAGTGGCCCAACACGTCACTTGCAGACAGTGTCAGTGCAAGTCTGATTCTTGTAGCATCCATTTCTCAGGACCATTTCCTCTAACTCTAGTTATTTCCGTAGTGTTATTCATAGTATCTTCTTATCCCACCGAGAATCAAGAATAGTGTCACAGTTTTCTTTGACCCAAAGCCACTACTGGCTATGTTTGAGGGCTTGTTTTTTTTTTTTTTATATCCTTTCATTGTTAGTCAGGAATAATAACAGTGTATTAGTTCAAACCATGCTTGCCTCCTAAACTATTGCCTGTATTGATATACAATACATGTATTGTATATCATGTATTGATATATGACATCACACACAGCTGCACAATTTGTGAAGCTCATAATTCTAGGAGGCACTGTTTGCCTAGACTATGGCATGAATGGCACACCCCTCTTCCCCCCCAAAGTTATACAATATGCAAACTGCAGAGCATAGTGTGTTATGGTCCATTAAATCATAACAGCATCTTCTGTTTGATATGAACATTTTGAAATGTTGAGGCTTGGTGGGGGGATACTCATATTAAGTAAATGCTTCCCTAAAACTTGATAGATTCAAAAATCTGGAAGAACTTTTACAAGAGAGACCTAAAAGAAAAGAAAACTTTGTTTTGCCTTTTCAATTATATCCTAGATATTCAATTTTATCTTGAAGTTTTCATTCTGATGACCTATAATAAAACTAATACCAGAAAGAGTTTTGGGGGGTAAGATATTAACTTTTATGTCCTATTATAAGTTGTCATGTTACCTTTGGTTTAAAATATAATCAGTACCAATTAATCAATAGTACCAGTTGATCAGTATTTACTTCATGTTTTCCTCCATAAAAACATGAAGGAAATATTCTGGTCAATTCTTATCAACATATATGAAAAGAAATTATACATTTAGTTATATTAACCATATTGATCTTTTTTTTTGTAATTTTCACTGCCAGTAGTAATACAGATTTGATCTCATAAGATATTAAGGTAAAGTCTTTGGTGGATAAGATGTATACATTTGATTTTAATCATATGTTCTTGGCAATTTGTTTTTTAAAACACTTTGGATAAATATCTAATTCCAAGTTAAGGCAAAGATCATTGTAGCCTAAAAGTAGTTTTTAAAACACTTTTTAAGTTTTTAAGATCAGGTTGAAATATCCTTTTCATTCTTACTAGGAAAATACCAAGTATTCAGACATTTATAATTGCGGTAGCTTGCATATTGACTGGCTGTTCAATTAATGGTGCATCAAGGGAAATAAATTTAGCGTCAGATGTTAGAAAAGAAAAGATTCAAAATAAAAAAGAAACTGATCCTTAAAAATTAATGTAAAACATTAAAAATAGCATAATGCTGTGGTGATTTCCTCAAACATTGACTCATTTAAGATTCACAAACCATTAAAAAACGAGTATTGTCTTTATCTACATTTTACATTTGAGGAAATTAAGGTTTCAGAAATAACTTACCCAGTGACAGTCAGTTAGTGAGATAAAGAGCTTGCTTTTTTATCTTAGGAGTTTAGTTTAAATTTAGGAGTTTAGTTTCCTTTTTTTTCTTTTTACTCTATTCTGCCCTTAACTATACACACACACACACACACACACACACAAACACACACACATACACACACACACACCCCATACACACACACAGAATTTAAGTACTTTGGTAGGTTTCTTTGAAAATCTGTCAGTTACTCACTATGATGCTTTTGGATATGTTCACATAGTTCTTTAAAGATTCCACAAAACATGATCTCATTCAGTTTTCACAATAGTCCAGTGAGGCAATGAATATATGTTATTATTCGTGTGTTTGTCCCATGTTGTTACCCTTATTATTGTTATTATTATTTTAATTCAAATTGTTATACAACCAGCAAATATTTGGTATAAATTTCTAATTTCATTTCTCTTTTTATTCTAAAAATGTATAAAATATAAAAATCTTATAAAATATCAACTACTTTGTGCCTTGATGTAGTCTGAATCAGACCATTTTGGATATAAATATAATTTTTAATTATTATTACCAACACTTGAAATATAACCTCCATACTTTTTATTTTGTACTCATCAAATACGATACCTCATTAGACCATTGGAAAAGATCTCTTTAAAATGCATTGCTTGCCATTAGTTAATTTGAAGAACATTTTAGGGATATAATTAACTAGAACTGAAAAGATATTTAAAAATCTATTACAAAATCTTTCAGGGAACCATTTCTTCAAAGATCTCATTTGTAGTAAAGGCATAAAAATATTCATGAATAGTAATAACCTTCAGGTTTAAGTTATAAATTCAATAACGGTGTACTTAAAAACAATAGATGACTGTCTGCTTATTCTGGTTAGAAGATATAGAAAGCATAGGAATTGTTTTCCTATTTTAACATACATATTGATTTTAATTTGACTATATCCTTCCTGTACGTCTTTGAATTGAATAAGTTAAAAAAATAGAGCCAAATGAATCACATGGGGTTTAACATAAGCCAGCTATCTAATAAGTGAATAGGAAGTAACTTGAAGGATAGATTTAATATTACAGGAATTCATGACCACGGCAGATTTGTAAAAATCTAAATCATGTGTTCATATATTGAACTTGATGCTTTAACATTCTAATTAAAAAAAAAAACACTTCTTAAATGAAAATTATCAAATTTGCTCTTAGGTGAATTAAATCACAATTTTATTATTTTTGTAATGAAAAGCTTAGTATACTTGAAGAAATTAAGATTGCTCAGAAGAAACAATATTTTTAATATTTAAGTTTTAATTTTCTTCCAGGAATTCAGGCATGATTAATCAAAACCTCTCCTTATAATATTATTTTAGTTTTTTAAAACATCATGTTTTCTTGTTACTTTGGTTCTAATTTTTGCATCTGTAAACTGAGGTGACATTCTAAAACTTCTTGTCTGGATGACACGTTAAAAATTTAAAAATATGTGTTTGTGAAACTTCAAAGACTTGAGAAACCATTTTTATTTTCTAGTAGTCAATCTGATTTGTCTGTTGGAACCATTTTTCTTTATCTGTTTCAATGAACACAGTTTCTAAAGGTACTGAGAGCTGAATAATATCTGAAACATTAAGTTTTTATATTTAATATACATTGGGGTTTAAGCACTTTTGTTTTACTACAGACTTTTGAAAATAAGCAATCTCTTAGGTACATTGTATTAAATAGCCCACCCTATTACAGGCCTGAGAAATAAACGGTTATTAATGTCCACCAGTGGTTCTTGTGGTAAACCCTTCCTTGTGTGGCCTTTCCTTGAGAGAGTCCTTTTTGTAAATTCCTTCCTTCCAAGGAAATAAAGCAGGACACTGTATTTCCTGTTTTGTATTCTGATGTGCTAACATCTTGATAATGGAGTAAGAACTGAAGGTGTGTCTGTTACTCAGATATGAGTCAACTGGCTTCTGTGGTACAGTCTATGATTTTGAGTTATTGTAGAAATTAAATATAATAATCTGGTTTTAATTTTTTTTTCTTCCTGGATGTCAGATTGTGTGTATGTGTGTATGCATGTAAGTTTCTAAAGTCTACTTCATAGTGTAAATTCCGAGAGGCATGAGTCCTGAAGATTAACACCCAAATTCCTGGAATCATAACCCTCCCTCTGGGATGTCAGTAAAGGTTGACTTTACATGTGAATGTAGGTCACTCTCTCCACCATATTTGAAAAAGTTAAGTATATAAGAAGTTATATCATTTTTTACTGGCTTCTGTTCATCGAATAAAGCTGGTAAAAAATATATTACCATTTTCCAAAGTGATTTCAATAAGCAGAATTTATTACCTTTGTTTATAAGTCTATGTGGAAATTTAGAGTCTTAAACAAATGTGGTTTCCTTTTTCTAGCATTATTGATGATGTGGAGAAGTGTGTTGTTTATGAGTAGTCCTATGAAAGCCAGAGAAAAAAGGCAGGAGACAATGATGACTTCTAAGTAAATGGGCTGCATTGTTCTAATCACTTTCTGACAATTAAAATAAGAAGAATATGTATCTAAACACAGTTTAATTTTAGCTGCACGTGCACATACAACCTAATTGAAAGCTGCATGAATATAATAGTGTATTTCTTGGTTACGTTTGTTTTGAGAAAGAAAATATTTTATAGGTAAGTAGTTTTTGTCAAGAACAAAAATATTTGTTATAAGAAAATAATTAACTGAGATAATAATGAGTAACCATCTAAAAGTTTTTCTCAGCAATTCTAAATGCTAATGATTGACTGAAGAGTAGATTTCAATGAGATATTTAGGATAGCATTTCTTTTTAATGATTGGTTTTGTTAACATCTTGTGTTCAGAAAACATACTTGATTCCATTTTAACTCTTAAATTTCTAAATCTATTTACTCTCAAAATGCTGTTTTCAGAGCATCACAGAATAGCTTATTTGGACAAGGGAAGCTGGCTGCTGGGGAACATCAATCAAACGGGTTACTTCAGAGTCAACTATGACCTGAGGAACTGGAGGTTATTAATTGATCAGTTAATCAGGAACCATGAGGTATATTCTAGACTTGCTCATAAGCTATGTGCTTTGACATGTGAACACCTGTAATTTTAATCCTTAATGATTCCTTTTTTTTCCCCCCCGATTGGCCTCATAGGTTCTTTCTGTCAGTAATCGTGCAGGTTTGGTTGACGATGCCTTTAGCCTGGCCAGGTATGTTTTACTGTGGATCTTCATAATAAAAACTCTTGCTTGTAAGATTTTCTGTATTAAGCTGAGTAGTAAGCATATTTTTAATTTAAGATATTAAAAATAATTTCTGTCTCACAATCTTTGTGTTTAGATATGAATTATAATTACTGTGCCAAATTCTTGATCAATAATAGCCATAGGGTATTTCCAAGACAGGAAAACTTGATCAATTTTGCTGCAAGTTCAATTTAACACTCTGGAGATTAATAATCTCTTCCAAATTTCATTAATGACTCTAAAAAATGGCCATTGTGCCATATTTAACTTTTGATAGAAAATATCTTCAAGCATCAGCAATTTTTTTCCTCGACATATGCCAGTATATCTTTTATTAATATTCTTTGGAATGTGATTCATTATGAAAAGCTTGAGCTGTGAGACAGATATAAATATCTACAGGATAAGACTGTTCTGGACAAAATATTTATCAATCTTGTTTTAGTTGTATTGGTAATAGTAATATTGTGTTACTTTCACTATTAGATTTATAATGTAAAAATCAGTTATTCCTTTGAACAATCATCAAATGAATTAATAAGCTCAAGGTACTTATTGTACTTTGAAACGAAATAGCAAACAGTTCTTTTAGTATTTTTTACTCTTTCATTTCCAGTTATAGTTTTAATTTTACAAGCTACAACTTAGGACATGGAAATTTCTCTTTGCTTACCTGGTTATCATAATTTACATTTTCTCCTAAGGCAATTGTGTGAAACTGGTTAGTTTTATCTGTGCTGAGATGAACACACAACTTAACTTAGCATAGGCATTGTTTCATTCCTGGAACCTGAAACTGCTTTTACAGTTTATGTACTCCATCAAATCTCAATTCTCTTCCATATGTTAAAAAGCATATCATTCCCTGTGGCATTCTAATCCATCAAAACTAATGAGCTTACATATAGAAGACTTGATAATTACTTTGACATAAGCAAAGTCAAGTTTGGGACCAAGTTACAGAGATTGGTTTTTGTAAAAATAAGTAATGTAGAAGGGAGAACACATAAAGAAGGGAAAAAGAAGAAATTCCAGGTAATTTTCTATTAAAAAGAAACAAAAAATCAAAACCCCCAGACTTTTTCCTTTTCTATTGCTACTAAGGAGACTGCACTGTTTTCTTATCTGGTAAACAATTCTGTATTGGCAATTCATTCTGACCAGGTAGCCCATGTTGCAGGCACACGTTTGTCTACCTGCTGAGTGACAGCCTTAAGGACAATTTACCAGCAAGGAAGTTTCTAATGAAATTGTACCAATTTCATTTAGTCATTTAGTATGAACAGAAGCTCACTTCCAGCAAAAGTAAAGGAGGGTCCTTTCATGCCACAGCATGGTCTTCTTGGGAAAAATTTAAAAATAATAGAGGTGGAGAAAGCCCTGCTGAGGTGTGATGTGTGATAATGGCTAAGAGGTAGCCTTTGCTGTGTAGTAAAATATGCAGACTTTGAAGAAAGCATTAGGTATGATGGTAATATATATGGAAGTTTAGAGAGTCCAGCTAGCCAGCCAGCCAGCCAGAAGGAGTTTATTTAATGTAATACTGCACTGAGGAAAAGGAGAGAGAGAGAGAGAGAGAGAGAGAGAGAGAGAGAGAGAGAGAGAGAGAGAGAGAGAGAGAGAGAGATTGAGATTATAAAATCAGATTTATTCAGGTGAATGCCCTGTACTTACTTGGAACTATTTACATTTTATTGTATTCTTGAAAATTTTTGTAATTTTGCTATTCAATATATATCAAACTCCTTTCCATTTTCTGGACAAATCAGGTACTCCTTGGGTTCTTTAATACTAATAAGTAGAAAATAGCAAATATTTTTTATATACTTATGTGCAAGATACTGTGCTGAGGCTTTTGTTAATGACCACCTTCGTTCAATCTTAAGAAACACATGGAATGACTGTGGTTACTATTGACACTTTATAGCATGGACATGGAGGTTAAGCCACTTACTTAAGGTTGCACAGCTTTTAAGTGTGTGTGTGTGTGTGTGTGTGGCGGGGTGCAGTGTGGGAAGGACATGGAAATTCAACTTCAAACAGGAAAACAGTAGAGTCCTTGACTTCAAGTCAAAGTGAGTTTGCCTATGACATGAAATTCCTTTCTATCTCATCCTCCTTGTCTGTCCAGAAGATTACCATTCCCTTGAAAAAAATGTTATTTTGTTTACCCTTTCTCACCACAACCTTGTCTGTCTTTCCAGAAAAAGTAAAGGGATGTTTTATGTACTAGTGTTATAGCACTTACTGCCACATTGCTTTCCAGGTACTTTTCCCAGTCCCTGACAGTTCCCAGATGATCTGGAGGGGAGCACTTTGCCTCATCCTCTTATTGTTACGACCTAATTTAATCTTTGGTACAGGATTGTGCTGACGTATGCTTGTTACATAATTAATCATATAAATTGATCATCAATTGTTAATTTTTCAAACTATAAACTTTCACACATATTTTAATAAGTTTAATTCCTGTAAGTAGAATTTGGGTTTTAAAGACTGTAACATTTTTGATAAGTAGTAGAAATTATATTCCCAAGGCTTATTTAACCCTGTCAACCATAACATGAGACAATCCAATTCCTTCAAATCCTTCACTTCAATATGCCATGTGTTTTAAATTTTGACAACCCAGTAGCCAAACTAATTTTTAGAATTTAATAATTTCTTTCATTCAAATTTGCTATTTCTACCTTATTTTCTATTAAATGTCACTTAGTTAAAAAATAATAATTCCAAATCTAAAAGAAAATAGGCAAAGATATTTTATTTTCTTGTTTAAGGATTTTCTTCCAAAACATGTGTTGACCATTTCTTCACTTATTGCAGAAGATAATAGTACGATGTGTCTGAAAAGCAACTGCACCCTGACCCACCTTGAGGAGAAGCTGTTTCTCCTACTTTGATAGTGGTTGTTTAAATGTGTAATGTGCTGACATTTCATAAATGAACTTGAGAAGAAATGACTTACAAACCTTTTGGGAGAGATAGCTTGGCAAGGTGGCCTTTTTGTCCAGATTTCTCCATGGTATTATAGTGACACAGACAGGGCCACTTTACTTTGGTTAAACAGTACAAAAAGCTGACCAAGGAGCCTAGATTCCTCTGATACTGTCCACTGCTTTATAAGTTTCTGAATTCTTTCTTCAATCCCTATTCTTTATTTGAAAGAACCATGTTGTATCAGCAAAATGTTTTTCTTACTTGTGTATTATAATGGATTCATGAGAGTTATCAATAAAAATAGACTTTGATTCCAATGTATAGTTTATTGCACTTGGTAGACAGAGAAAGATGATTCTGTAGCTGTTTGCATTAGACTCATTTGGGAGAAATATTCATGTATGATTACGCTTTTGGTTATCTTTTGTTAAGCCACTAGAATGTGTGTGTAAGAGAATTAAAATTAAATATTTATGGAATTTTGAAAGTGATAAAATTGTTTATTGTAAAATAAGATTTATGGCTAGCTGTATGCTTCCAACCCTCTGCCATTGACCAAAAGCTATTTAAAATTAGCGCACAGTTATCCTCTCAGTCTTTCTAACCAATGAAAATTGTTTCATACTATGAGCGGTGACTCACTGTGAATCCTTTCAAGAGTGGCTATATCCAAAAGATTATATTTCTCATATCCCTGAGGCTGGGGATTTTAATTATCTATTTGTCATGAGTAACAAATGCACATCTTGAGACATAAAAAAGTCACCTTGAAACCCTTTCATTTTATACCTTTCTGACATGCAATCATTTAAAAATTCACACCCCAAAGACCTCTAAATTAGTCTTAGTTTCAGCAATACTTTGCCATGGATAAATGGTAAAAATTGTCTGAATGCATTTTCAGGATATTTTACTGTAATGAGCTGGGAGTCTTTATCTTTCTTTCTGTTACAACCCAGTGAAAGCCTAGAGTATATTTCTGGATTTTCAGCCATTCCTGCAGGCATATGCTAGTTGACTCAAGGTTAGAGAGTGAGTTAACATGTTCCTTTGAGCTGTCCTTTAGAAATCTGTTGAGGGTGGAGTCACAGATGTTGTCCTTGGGATGAGGATTTCTGGGGAACTACTACACCAGGTACTTCTGAGAATTACAAATCTCCAGAGGCATTAAAGGCAGGCCTGTTGCTCGAGAATGGCAAAATTTCTTAGAGACTTTTAAATTGTGCTGCATTAAATCTAAAGCAAATTTGTAACCTTCTTAGGCCAAATTTGTGTTTTAGTTCTGTAGGAGAAAATGTTTTAATATTAATGTCTAATGCCTGAGAGTGCTAAGTAGAAGAGAGGTATTTTGATATCACTTGGTAGGTTTGATCTGCTCTTATAGCAAATAGCCTTGGATTACAAAACTAGGTGATGTTTGTAGGTTACATGAATTAGCATTTAACTATCCTTTTTGTGAGTGTAGGCAGTCTAAATTTCCAAATGAAAGTACAAATTTGTTTAAGTCTATGTATTTGTTTTATTTAGCATCTCATACATTAAAAATAGTTTTATAACTCCCATTGTGGTTAGTGCTCTCAGGTCTTCATGTACAAATTGTGATCCTTTTGATTTTGTGATTGTTTTAAAACATAACCCTGAGATTTCAAAGGAATTTACTAAGAATTTCCAAATAATTTAAAATACTTGTTCATAAATAATTTATTTAGGAGGATCTGCCTCCAAGATGTCCATTTAGACGACCAAACTTAACTTGAATAGGTTTGTAAAATGTACTTATAACATCAAAACCTGAATATTCCTGTGACCTCAGATTCCTGGATAGGAATAACTTATCTTTTTATGAATTTGAGGTAACTGTTTTCCTTTTGCTGTAAATATTTTGCATATACCGGTACAGTGCTTCTTTGAGCATGACCTCAGAGGCTACCTGCATCAAAATCACCTGAGCTTTTATCTTTAAAATTGCAGACTACTGAAGCCTGGGACCCTTCATTCTGTTAAGTACTTCAAGTGATTCTGAC